TGATTAAGCAGGAGTGACTAACTTATCTTCATCGCTGAATTAAAACTAGTCTAGTCAATAAGTTCCATGTTTGGAACAGAATATATTACAGTACATCATCAAACCAAGCATATATTTTTTTTTCGTTGGTACTATCTGGTGAGAGAACTCATTTGTTTATAGATAAAATATGAGGAATCCAAAATTTACAGATCTATTCAACCAAGGTGACGGGGATTAGGACAAAACGTATGCAGACATGAGGAGAATAATTGGGATATGACGTACCAGGTACAATACCGTACTGCATTCAATTGAAATCCTGCAGAAATGAAAAGATGAGATTCCACTTTCAATTTTCAATCGCGATTCCATGGGATTACATGAAGTCATACCATATTGAAAGCACCTGATTTCTACTAGTCAAACCACTGTATACACAGAAATTGAATAAAATTTGGCCCAGGTAGTGCAGTACAGTATTTGGATGGGAGACTAGGTGGCAACACTGGGTATAATGGGAGGGGGGAGTTCAGTTGACTTCTGCCTTGCTCAACTTGAAATGTTCATACTGCAGCCCTTTCAACTCATTCCAGTGAAAAACGATTTTTGCTTTATTTCGCACAAATTTTCCAGAATATCTCATGGATTGAAAAATACCGAAATGGACGATTTAAGGGAGAACGATATTTTCGTTTTCAATACATTAATCGATAGCTTCGAGAAATATTCGACACGAAAATTTACGAAAAAGAAGAAACCAGTAGCATGGAGATTATTGGAATGATTTTTATTAAACACAAACCGTGAAAAAAGTCAACAGCACCCGGTGTTCCCAGGCGGTCTCCCATCCAAGTACTAACCGGGCCCAACGTTGCTTAACTGCCGTGATCGAACGAGAACGGGTGCTTTCAACGTGGTATGGCCGTTGACATCTACAAGAGCTTCCGAGGCAGCATTATAACATACGGTAGATAGTACTGCATATCGTACCACAAACTCAGCCAGAATTCAGCGTTTCAAAACCACAACAAAAACCAGCGAAATATTTTTTCCTTCTATTCCACTGGCTTGATAGCTGACGTAGAAATTAAAAACGGACTTGCTCAGTTTCACACAAAGCACAATGGTACTAACAAAGAAAACTCCTGATCCAGAAAACGAAGTGCAGTGTGACCAGAAAATGATTGAAAGTCATCTGCAGCTTGGAAAGTAGTGGAAAATTTATAAAAAATTGAAACCTCATATCACAATCAAGTCCCGCAAACCTCAAGGTCTAGCTGACAAAATGAATACGATTTGCAAAATGTGATACTTGAAAACATGGCTTGACTGTTCAGGTTGTTTTTTTATTTTCAAGAAAAATGAGGAAAAAGTCAACAGCACCCGGTGTTCCCAGGCGGTCTCCCATCCAAGTACTAACCGGGCCCAACGTCGCTTAACTGCCGTGATCGAACGAGAACGGGTGTTTTCAACGTGGTATGGCCGTTGACATACTTCGCCCACACATTGACAGGATTCTGCCCTACGGTATACTATATCGCAAAATTTTGATTTTAAAAACCCCAGAGCAGTCAAATAAATGACTTTAAAAATCTTTCAACTTCCTGAATGACGAAGAAATCGTTACATCAGACTCGTTCAAATTCGCAAGAAGCACAATTGTTCAACTGCCGTGATCATCAAACGAGATACTGAATAACTGATGGTGCTTTCAATGTGATAAATATGGCCGACGTTACGAGACTAATCACTTTTTAAAACGCGATGTCAATTTTTCGCACGAGACTTCAAAACTTCAATTTGTCCAACGGAGGGAAAAAGATATACGCAAATGAACTACATATTTTACATTCAATGGTATGATCGCTCGAACGTTCAATCCAACTTTGACGAATAAACGTCCTTCAAAACTGTACATTTAAAACGGAGCATTATTCCATTCACACTTGCAAATTTAAAATGCAGTGGCGAGGATCCGGAAACACCTAAGCATTACATAAACAAAGGAAATTATCGAACCCGGACATTGTATTGACAATTGGTTAGACTTCTAATCTGGTGATTTAAAGCTAATAACTTCATGATGAATGGCTTTGAAATCAATACTGGAATGGGTGTTGGCAACACCCATTCCAGTCTGAAGATGGTAGAACAGATAGACAGTGAATCATTATGGGGATCGATTTGTACTGGGATGGGAAACTTAGCTGTTGGCGTTCTTCACGTTGAATTATTCCTTTCATGGAGAACGGTGCAAGTTTTTAATAAACTGCCAATTCTTGTAAAACCGTTCGATAGAAAATCATGGATTTCACAATGACACTATTTATTAGTTCGACTGCAGCAGGAAATTTCCCGCTGTTCCTAAATTCATTGCAACACTTCATAACAATGATTTTTTTTAAATAGTCATTTTCCATCATTACGGCAAGACAATAGAAATTTATTTTTTGCACGAAAATAATACACTCAGCAACACTATTTCATCCATTTCGAGTGATTAACCATGGTATTTATGAAGTTTTTCTTCAAGAAAATCGATCTAAATATTTATTTCTTTTAGGAAAAATTATGATAAAAGTCAACAGCACCCGGTGTTCCCAGGCGGTCTCCCATCCAAGTACTAACCGGGCCCAACGTTGCTTGACTGCCGTGATCGAACGAGAACGGGTGCTTTCAACGTGGTATGGCCGTTGACGTACAGATGAGCATCAAAATTTGTTTATAACTCACCGTGTAGCATACCTACCATAACACAAAGTTCCGCGTTTCATACGGAGGGCATTGAGCATTGCTATAATTTTTCTTGAAATTCCGAAACTTGAAGAATGACTTCGCAATAGATATCAGACTTTCTCAGTTCCACAATGAAGCAAAGTTGTGCAAACAGCGAAGAAAAATAACCTGATCCAGAGAACGATCTTTATACAGTACTGAATAAGCTCAAGCAACTGTAGCTGATTTTAGCGAACCGTAACTGTAATCAAGCATGAAGAAAATTAAAAGTTTGAAATCCTGGACACGTTACATAAACCGTAGCGCCTGGTTGACATAATAAATAATATTCGCGATATCTGATGTTTTAATACAGTTACAGGTAGAATTTTTTTTTACCATGCAAAAAAGTCAACAGCACCCGGTGTTCCCAAGCGGTCTCCCATCCAAGTACTGACCAGGCCCAACGTTGCTCAACTACCGTGATCGAACGAGAACGGGTGCGTTCAACGTGGTATGGCCGTTGGCAGATATAGTTCCACCAGAGACTGGATTCTAGAGTACACCAAGTACTAAAGTATACCTTACCTTAAAATTCTGCGCTACAAAACCTGAACAGGAAGCAGTAAAATAAGTTTACCTTAAATTCTATGGATTTCGTAGAAATCGTAATCCGAACTGTTCATTTCACTCACAGCAAGGCAGTGCCACTGTATAAAAAAAGATAATGGACCCAGCTATAATACCGCAGTGCGAAACTAAATATCCAGTAATAATCATAAGCAGCTCGAAAAATAATACTGTAAAATGAAATTAAAAATCGAAGTTGCAATTCGAACTCTGGTAGAGCGTGTCTCGTAACCTCTGTGTCTTGTTGACAAAGAATAAATAAATCTTGAAGATGCGTATACAGTACACTATAAAATAACAGTCATGTTTCAGAATTTCAACATCATGCTTTGAACTGGTGTTATACAAGCAGCAAGTTTAAAAGCTTACATAATCAACACAATGTAAAAAAAAATCGTTTTCTGAAAAATCCAGTTGAAATTCTGTTCAAGTTTACATTGAAAAACATGGAGCGAGTCCTTTCAAGCAAAGCCCAGCAGTGCCCAAACTTCTTTAAGGTAAGATCATGATTATTCCTTTTACAACAATTATAAGCATCCCGTCATATAGAAATGGATCCAAAACAGATTCCATGAGTAAAATATTCTTTTCAGCATAGCGTAATTCATTAATGTAATAGTTGAACCTCTCTAAGTCAAACTTCAAGGGACCAGCAAAAAAAAATTTGACTTAAGGAGGTTTTGAATTTAGCTACAATACAAAGCCCTTTTGAGTTAGGAAACATAGAAAAATTGCTCTAAATTTTAAATTTTAATCTTCTGAGGCTGAAATTACTTCTTAACTGAGTTGAAAGCATCCTGAACTTGGAGGCAGGGGTTCATTTGCCCAATTAGGTCTCTCACCTCATTTAAAACAAAACAATTTCTGTTTCTATTGCTTTTTTTTCTTTCCTGTGCCAAGAAAATAAAAGCCAACAGGCCACAGAAAATTTGACTTACGGAGGTTTGAGGGGAAAAGCCTTTGACTTGGTGAGGTTTTAAAGGCATTAGTTCTAAGGATGTTCAGACAGGACCTGAAAAAAATCTCAACTTAGGGAAGTTTTCAACTTAGGAAGGTTCAAGTTACTTAGGTTCACATTAATTCTTTCTTTCCCCCAATGAAAAAAAAAGCTTGTTCCCCAGCACCCCCAACTCAAAATAACCTCCTCAATTTGAATACTTTTCTCTGGTCCCTGGGAAATTCAACAGGAAGAAATACATTACTTTCCTGTTATCTCAGTACCTCATTCCTAGACAGCACTACCATCCAGACAAATCTCCAGACAAATTCATAATCACAACAACCTACCAGAAACTGTGAATTTTATTTTTCTGCATTCTACTGAAACTGATTTTAAGAGGTGGTTAGGAAAAGTTAGGTTAGGTCAGGTTATGTTAGTTACAAATATCTTTTAACTAACATAACCTGACCTAACCTAACTTCACCTAACAAATTCACAGTTTCTGGTAGGTTGTCGTGATTATGAATTTGTCCTAAAGATTTGTCTGGATGGTAGTGTGGTCTAGGAATGAGTTACTGTGATAACAGGAAAGTAGGTACTGAGATAACAGGGAAGTACCAGAAATACAGTACATCCCACTGTAAGATTATTATTTTTCGTTCATATACTGTATTTTCAATAATGAAGTGATAATTCAAGTGAAATCAACAAATGAAATAAATTTCCGACTCACCCTGGCCTGAGGAGCAGCACCCGCAACAGCATGATCATTCCCAAGCAACAAGGACTCTTCGAATTCACCAGTTGTGTTGCTGCTGTTTCGCTCTGGGGCACCATTGCTGCCCAGCAAAGGCATACTACTGTCTTCGTTGGAATCCGAAACCCGATCACTTGAACTCGGCATCGTTCTACGCGCAGGGGTATTTATTTTTTATTTATTTCTTCTTTCTTTTCACGAGAGAAAAAATAACAATAATAATAATAATGAAGTTGTCCCTTCTTTCGTATTTCTTTTTTTTTGTTATTCGCGCGAACAACAAACACTGGATGATGATGACGAACACTCGGCGATCCAGTCACAATAATAAACAAGGAGCACCTCGTCACTCACTACTTCGGGTAACGCGAGACTCGCTGATCAGGCACACGAACCCAAGGAACCACCTGGAATATGGAAAATGCAAATCAAAACAAGGCATGTCGAACAAATCAAACTCAAGCATTAAAAACAAAAAACAAGGGTACACGACGCCTCAGGCGCGGGGTGAATATCTCAACAAAACAAAAAAATTCAGAGGACTGTGCTGTTCATTCACGCTATTTTGTTATACATTCAAATATTGGTACTGTGCAATGAATTCTGTGGAAAATACGAGAGAAAAAAATTGTTAGAATGACAAATTTTTAATACATTTGAACCTCTCTGAGTCAAATTTCAAGGGACCTGCAAAATATTTGACTTTAGGGAGATTTTGACTATGGACGTTTAGAATTACTGTACATAGGTTTGAACTGCCATACATGCCCTTTTTTTCAGGGAAACTTAGAAAAAATGTAAATGGTGATATTATGGGGCTTAAATGGCTTCCTAAATTAGATAAGTTGAAAGGCTGCTGAACTTGAAGGCAGAAGGGTTTCATTTGCCCAATTAAGTCTTTCACTTCCTTTAAAACACATGAATTTATGTTATATTGCTTTTTTCCTTTCTTGGGGCAAGAAAATAATGGCCAATAGGCCACAGAAAATTCAACTTATGGAGGTTTGAGGGTAAATACTTTCAACTTAAGGGGGGATTTTAATGCATTGTTTTTAAGGGGATACAGATGGGGACCTGAAAATTTATTTTTTTTACTCATAGGGGGTTATTCAACTTGGGGAGGTTCAAGTTATTGAGGTTTGCCTGTAATGGGATTTGTTGTCCTTGGAGCATGCCTATAGGACTGACATTTTGTGGGATAAAGGTACTGATAAATGCTTTAAGGTAAGAGTTTTCATCATTTCAGACTTATTTTGATGAAACACTGGAGGAAATTCAAAATTTGAAGAGCATCAATCTTATTTCAGACTTTCACCTCTTAAAATTTTTTTTTTAAATACTGATCTTACTGAAGAAAACATGCATAAGATGCACATTTATTCATCAAAAAATGTATGTTTCCTAAAAACCATCCTTCCAAGCATACTTGAGTTTTGTCCAGAAAAATGAGCCTTTTTTTCAATTCTAAAACTAGATAAATTTTGAATAAAACTGCATACTGCCAGCAATGCTAAATTTTCCATTCAAAAAAATTATCAGTTCCATTTTTTTAAGGTTATTCAATTATGCACCAGTTGATTTTCACCATTTTGTACCAATTTATAATACCCTTGCACAAATAATTGGGGCAAAAATTGGTAATGCTGAGATTTATAGAGGAAAATTAGTTTGCTACAAAAATTTACAACACTGACCCTTAGAAGAAACTTCTAAGGCCAAAAAGAGTTGCTACAATGAAAATCTGTTATGGCAATATTCACTGTAATGAAAGTTCAATGCTTTTTTCTTTTTTGAATACTGATACATCTGTTCAGTAAACAAAAGCTTCCAATTGTTCTCCCCAAAACAGAAAGAACAGGCTCATAATTACAAAAAAAACAATCCTATACGACGAGTGTCTGATTTCTGCGCGTTTTGGAAAAATGTACTATTTTCGAATAATGCAATAATTTAAATTTAATATTTCCCCCAAATTCAACACATTTTCTCCAGCTGTCGTTTTTTTTCAAGAATTTCACGAATAACGGCTTTGAACTTCAAATTTCCACTTCTGAATTCGCGAATACACTTCGCAAACGACTCTAAATTTCATTATAAAACCAGAGAAGCTTTGAATATATATTTTTTGGGACATCTATAATCACGCCAACACCACGCAAAAAATGTCAGAATACTGTATATAATCACTTCTAAAATAAAGTACCGCGGCATAAATTAGTATAGGTGACACACTGGGGAAGGATATTTTTCTTTCGTAATCAATAAAAGACAATTATAACTTTATAAGGAAAAGCCAGAAAATTGTGTTCATGACCTGATGGGCGAAAATCATCCAGACAGTCTTTCAAAATTATCTGATTTCGAATAAACTGTCTTACTTTTTTTAACACTTTCTGAAATAAGTGAAAACTTCGACTGCGCGGAAATAAATAAAAAAAAATCGCACAACACTGAGACTCAAACTCCAGCATTTCATATAATTTTAAGATGAGCTGATGTAAAATTTGTGAATGAAGACACACGAGAACATGCAAGAAAATTACGATCACTGCTGCTCCAAAGAAACTCCGGAAGCGCAGGTAACTTTCACAATTCTTTTTTTTTTCAACTCCATCAGATCAAGTTTTATGGCACAACCAGGTGCAAGCTGTGGAAGGAGAAATGCCCTCCAGCATGGGGCNACACACGAGAACATGCAAGAAAATTACGATCACTGCTGCTCCAAAGAAACTCCGGAAGCGCAGGTAACTTTCACAATTCTTTTTTTTTTCAACTCCATCAGATCAAGTTTTATGGCACAACCAGGTGCAAGCTGTGGAAGGAGAAATGCCCTCCAGCATGGGGCTCGCTTCTCAGCAGCTCCACTGAGAAAGGAGCCCTCATTCCATGGGGTTTGAAAAGAACCCATGGTCCCTGTCCCTCGCACATCTGCCCTGAGCACACGGCCTTCAATCCATTTGAATCCCCCTCTNTGTGGAAGGAGAAATGCCCTCCAGCATGGGGCTCGCTTCTCAGCAGCTCCACTGAGAAAGGAGCCCTCATTCCATGGGGTTTGAAAAGAACCCATGGTCCCTGTCCCTCGCACATCTGCCCTGAGCACACGGCCTTCAATCCATTTGAATCCCCCTCTTACGAGGGTTCTAACGAAAGTTCTCGGAATAGAAATTAAAAATGTCATATAATTGACCTGAAAAAAAATTTATTCTTTAGGGAAAACACATTCTTTGGCACAAAGAAAAAAAAATCAGTCCTGTTTAACACATTTTTTGAATGCTTTGCAAAATTCACCCTGGCAAGAGTTTTGCTCTCCACTCAAAAGATGAGGCACCCTTCCTGCAGATTTTTTTGTTTTTTTTTGGCCCAGGTTTCCCCTCAGAATTCTTGAAATCAGCATGGCATTAATTACAAGTTTTGCCTCCAGATCTTCCAAGGTTATTCTGCCATTTTCATCAACAGCCGCCTTCACAGCCGCCAATGTGGCAGGAAGGGTGCCTCATCTTTTGAGTGGAGAGCAAATCTCTGCCAGGGGGAATTTTGCAAAAAATTTAAAAAAAATTTGTCAAACAGAGCTGATTTTTTTTCTTGTGCCAAACAATATGTTTTCCCTAAAGAATATTTTTTTCAGCTCAATTATAAGCCATTTTAATATATATTCCAAGAACTTTGGGCAGAACCCTTGTATAATGCTGATGGATTACTACCTGCTGAGCTGACCTGAAGGAATCCCTTGGCTTTTGCCACACTTGCAGCCATGTTCAGGCTTGGTAAGACACTAGCCTGGGGTTTTCAATATAGTGAAGTACAGTACAGTAATGTATCATAATTGAAAAAAAGGAACTCCTGCAGCAATGGAATGATTGATTGTGAAGAAGAGGTGAACACTGTCAGTCAATTTTTAACCTAAACCATTTTTCAAGATTTACCCTCAGTTCTAATTTTTTTGTGCTTGTTAGCTGGTTTGGCCAGATTTTTGAGATTGAAAATATTTTATAGCTTCTCACTAGCCAATTCAACATCAACAAATACAAGTTGATATTTTTCAACACTCATTTTTAAAACTAATTATTGCATAAAACAAATTTAGCTTTTATTTATTCCTGTCCAAGATCGGCGATCCAGTCACAATAATAAACAAGGAGCACCTCGTCACTCACTACTTCGGGTAACGCGAGACTCGCTGATCAGGCACACGAACCCAAGGAACCACCTGGAATATGGAAAATGCAAATCAAAAAAGGCATGTCGAACAAATCAAACTCAAGCATTAAAAAAAAAAAAAACAAGGGTACACGACGCCTCAGGCGCGGGGTGAATATCTCAACAAAAACAAAAAAATTCAGAGGACTGTGCTGTTCATGCACGCTATTTTGTTATACATTCAAATATTGGTACTGTGCAATGAATTCTGAGGAAACTACCAGAAAAAAATGATAGAATGACAAATTTTTAATACATTTGAACCTCTCTGAGTCAAATTTCAAGGGACCTGCAAAATATTTGACTTAGGGAGGTTTTGACTATGGGGAGGTTTAGAATTACATAGGTTTGAACTACAATACATGCCCTTTTTTCAGGGAAACTTGGAAAAAATGTGAATGGTGATATTCTGGGGCTTAAATGTCTTCCTAAATTAGATAAGTTGAAAGGCTGCTGAACTTGAAGGCAGGGTTTCATTTGCCCAACTAAGTCTTTCACTTCCTGTAAAACACATGAATTTCTGTTTTATTGCTTTTCTTCTTTCTTGGGTCAAGAAAATAATGGCCAATAGGCCACAGGAAATTCAATTTATAAAGGTTTGAGGGTAAATGCTTTCATCTTAGGGAGGAATTGAATGTATTGCTTTCAAGGGGATTCAGATGGGGACCTGAAAAAAATTTATTTTTACTTATATTTGACTTAGGGAGGTTCAAGTTATTGAGGTTTGCCTGTCATGGGATTTGTTGTTCTTGGAGCATGCATAGGACTGACATTTTGTGGGAAACATGTACTGATAAATGCTTTAAAGTAAGAGTTGTAATCATTTCCAACTTATATTTTGATGAAACAATGGGAGGAAATTCAAAATTTTAAGAGCATTAACCTTATTTCAGACTTTCACTTCTTCACCATTTAAAAAAAATATATATATACTGATCTTACAAAAGAATACATGCATAAGATTCAAATTTATTCATTTAAAAAATGTATGTTTCCTGATAAGTATCATTCCAAACA